TGGATAGTGTCAACTCCACCTGGCTTTTTGGCAGCGTTTCGCCGACTGTTACCGCTGTTTGTTTACTATATCCTTTTATTGACTGAGTGGGCGATGGTTGAGTGTGTTGATGCGGGTGTGAGCTCGCATACGTGCGTGCGTGTCTGTTTGTATGGATATTCGTCCTGATCCCATTATGTCACCTGGTGTAATGACGTGTCGCTGGGCCGAGGATCCAAACTGCACGTTGTATATGCCTCGGAGAGACGCGAAACAACACGATGCAGTAGTGGGTGACTTCATGCGTCAGTCAAACGAATCTGGGAGCCCAGTGATATTGATAACCGTCAGCCGTTGTGGGATGAGGGGGGGGGGTCAAATTGCCGAAGGTTTTTCGGGAATGGTTTCCGAATGACGGGGCATAGCCGCGTCAAATTTTGCAAAGCGGTAGACAACTGAATAGCAGATCGTCTGACATGAACAACTTAGATATACCTTGTAAGGACGCTGACATATGACAGGTCAAAGTCAGGTCATGGTTTTAGCGAAGGCAATTTGTGGAGAATCGTTCAATCTGATCCAACAACGGAGTGTTAGACGAAGCCATACATCTCTGAGATGCATTCTTAGACACACAACAATTGGCTGAACGAATAGAATTGACATAGGGACAGGTATGACTGTCAGACCAATGTCAAAACCCACCTGTTTTATTACTCTATGACTTGCTGCATGGGGTATTTTCTGGTGCTCATTTTGAATTATTGATAACAGGAACCGCATGAAACACCTTGCATGAGCCTTGAAGGATCAGAATAGGTCACTGCCATAAAATAACCCGGGTCAACATTTTATTTTTAGGAACGCACTGCCTAGCCCTTCTATGCTCATCTATGTCGCTTATCCGAATGCAAAACTCAAAACATTCTTGTATGATTTTGGTCACTCTGACCTACGAAAGGTCAAATAAGGTCACAGGCCTTAAATGAGCATGTTTTCTTTCGTTTGTAACGCCTATGTAGGCTTCAGGGGCCCTTTGGAGACCAGCCTGGAATTTGACGTTGTTTGACCTCATCTAACCCAAAGGCAATAACTTAGAAATCTCGAACTTTAATCTAAGTGAGTTCACGTGTAGGTTAACACACCCTGTGAATTTAGTGTCTCTAGCTCTCTTGGTTCCTGAGATCTCAGGGGGCGATCAAATTGACCCCCACCCGAGCAAAGGGTATCCAACGGGCGACCCGGGCGCCTGTTGAAACGCAATCGCCGCCATCGTGTCATTGATGTCGGCGCCTCGTTTGTTTGCTTGCAGAGCACGGTTCTGGTCTGTGACGGCATGCCTCGTGTGCCAACGACACCACGGCGAAATTGGATAGGCGAGCAATCGGAAGAGTGACTTTATGACGGGGGGGGGAGGGGTGTGAGTTTTCAGCTAGCTAACTTGTTAAGATGCTACATCAGATTGTAAACAAAAGAAAAGGTCATGCGAGTTTCTTCAACTAGTTTGTATCATGTCATAAGGATTTTATAACATTGTCAACAACTTAGACTCACCGCTGTTACCTCGCAAGGTAAGATAGTGCTTCAGCTATGTGTCATCTGAGGAGATAAATGGGAATCTACAGCAATGTTGCGCACTTTGAGCTGTTCGTGATTGAAGGCATCGGCATCACTGGAAACGGCATCCAGGTTTAAGATTTTCAGTAAACTGGATACCTCTTAGGTCGAAGCTACGACCTGAGCTTCGTAAATGTAAGCTTGAATGTCGATACAAACTTTACGCTTTGCGTTCGAACGGCGGCAGAGCACACACTTGATTGGGTAGAGACCTTGGATGGCAACTTAAATATCATATAAAACGTTCTAAAACCCGCGGTACACGTAACAATATCTCCAGCAAATGGATCGGGCCAGTAAGGTCAAATTCGATAGAAGACCTGAATAGCGCAAGCTTTTTTGGTTGGCACGGAATGTAAGCCTGCTGGTCGCGCGTGCAAAGCAATTTTAAACCCACTAGAAAATCAAAATCAGCACATTAATTTACCTTACATAGGGGCGCAGTCTCAAACAGTGAGCCCCTGTCAATAGAGGTTAACAGCGATCAGTGATCTCGGTGAATTTGGAAAAAGCAGCGTCATGTAAACGAAACAATAATTTCCAGCCCGTAGCTATTTCCGTGCGATCATAGGCTGCATTATCTGTCATTGATTAAGGGTTGCTAAGGGTCGACTTTGAGTGCGTGCAAATCAAGTGGACACTACGCACTTCCTGCATCGAGCCTTAAAGGTCAAACTATTGTTAGATCTTTAAGCAGAAAGGACTGCTGTAGACAACACACATTCTCTGTGAAGTAAATATGCTCCTTGATACGTCATTGTCTGATTACGTAATCGTGCCTTGCACAGCACTGAGAGCTGATTAACGGCCGTTATATCTGGAAATCGTGCTCACGAACGCCAGATATGAACGACTCGACCGATGTATTTTTCTCGGCCTTGATCGCCGCATGGCTGATGGAATG